ATAGGGCGCTAACCGAAAAATGCTGCATGAGACGCGAAGAGATGAAAAACGCAGATTACAAGGTTACCATTATTCTGTTCTCTCGCACTTCGTTCACGTCCAATCCATTACCATTCTGTGTCAGTTTTGCGTTTTTTTTTTCGCTCATAGATAATGGCTTTCATGCAACAACTGCACCCACCAAAATATTTGCGATGAAAATTTCTGGAACTCAGAATTAAATAATATCGGACTAATCACGGTTTTGGCTTTCGAATCATGCCTTTCTCATAATTTTTCAGTAATATAACTTGATTGTTGCATATCCCAAAGCCGATGACCGGGTGCATTTGTTGTGCTAACACGTGCAGCTTGTTCGCTTTCCTATCTATCCAGCATAGTTGCAGGGCGAAAAAAATCGGAAGGCGAATATCATGATCCGTGTGAACGTTCCGAATTTTATCATATGAGTGATCTCACTAAACGGGCTGCCCTATTCGCTGGGCCAGATGAATACGATTCGCGCTATTTGGAGAGCAGCCTTGCATTTGATCCGCTATCGGAGCTGGAACCGGTTGCTAAACGACCGAGGCCGTCCGAAAGGAGTAAGTGCTTTATCAGTCATAACGAAAAAAAAAATTAAGTGCACTATGTTTTGCACACATTTTAACACAGCCTGCTCAGAATTATGTCTCAGTCTTGGAAGTTAAAAAAGTAGAGCTTTTCAAGATCACTTCGACAACTGATGAAGTGTTTTGATATTATTGCGACAACCTACGCAATGATCACAGTTTTGCCGGACTTTTCGATCCTGGGCTGAATGACTTCAGCTGATAACATTTACCATCTATACGGCTTCTTGTCATCTCTTGTGATTTATGCAACTCACAAAAAAATATAATTTTTTTAACTTATACTGAGGAAAAGTTTCCAGAGTTGGAAACCACTTTCTTTATTTCTCGCAGGCACATCAAATTTCTTTGATTCCAACTTTCTCGACCTCTTATTTTTAACGCTTAAACCCATTTTTTATTAAATAATTATTTACCGCAATTGACCATAATAGCAAAATG